TCTGTACTTCATGGCCTTTGAGACCTTTTCTAATATTTTGCCATTTCGTTTACTGCTACGGAGTTCAGCTAGCACTGATTCGTCTCCCCATATGGCGAGCAGATCCCAAACCTCCCGTTCTGTCCATGCTGGAGCTCTTTTGCGATCCTGGGACTCCATCATGGTTACCTGTGCTGATGAGCTCTGCATGGTCACCTGTGCTCGCCATGCTGGGCAAACAGGAAACAAAATTCAAAAATTTGCGGGGCTTTTCCTGTCTACCTGGTCAGTGCATCTGAGTTGAGAGTGCCGTCCAGAGCAGTCACAATGAAGCACTGTGGGATAGCTCCCGGAGGCCAATAACGTCGAATTCCGTCCACACTACCCCAAATCCGACCCGCAACGGCCGATTTTAGCGCTAATCCCCTCGTCAGAGGTGGAGTAAAGAAATCGGTTTAAAGGGCCCTTTAAGTCGAAAGAAAGGGCTTCATCCTGTGGACGTGTCCAGTCTTAATTCGATTTAACGCTGCTAAAGTCGACCTAAACTCATAGTGTAGACCAGGCCTAAACAGTCAGCATGAATTTGTCAAAAACAAATCATGTCAAACCAACCTGACAGCTTTCTTTGACAGAGGAACAAGCCTTGTGGGGGTATATCTTGATTTTTGTAAAGCTTTTGATACTGTCCTACATGACCTTCTCATAAATAAACTAGGGAAATGCAACCTAAATGAAGCTACTATAAGGTGTGTGCAAAACTGATTGGAAAACCATTCCCAGAGAGTAGTTATAAGTGGTTCAGAGTCATGCTGGAAGGGCATAATGAGTGGGATCCCACAGGGATCAGTTCTGGGTCCAATTCTGTTCACTTCATCAATGATTTAGATAATGGCATACAGAGTACACTTATAAAGTTTGCGGATTATACCAAGCCTGGAGGGGTTGCAAGTGCTTTGGAGGATAGGATTAAAATTCAAAATGATCTGGACAAATTGGAGAAATGGTCTGAAGTAAACAGGATGAAATTTAATAAGGACAAATGCAAAGTACTCCACTTAGGAAGGAATAATCAGTTGCACACATACAAAATGGGAAATGACTGTCTAGGAAGGAGTATTGCGGAAAGGGATCTGGGGTCGTAGTGGATCACAAGCTAAATATGAGTCAACAGTGTAACTGTTGCAAAAAGAAGCGAATATCATTCTGGGATGTATTAGCAGGAGTGTTGTAAGCAAGACACTAGGAGTAATTCTTCCGCTCTACTCACGCTGATTAGGCCTCAACTGGAGTATTGTGTCCAGTTCTGGGCACCACATTTCAGGAAGGATGTGGACAAATTGGAGGGAGTCCAGAGAAGAGCAACAAAGATGATTAAAGGTCTAGAAAACATGACCTATGAGGGAAGATTGGGTTTGTTTAGTCTGGAAAAGAGAAGACTGAGAGGGGACATGATAACAGTCTTCAAGTATGTAAAAGTTTGTTAGAAGGAGGAGGAAGAAAAATTGTTTTTCTTCAACTCTGAGGATAGGACAAGAAGCAAGGGAGATTTCGGTTGGACATTAGGAAAAACTTCCTAACTGTCAGGGTTAAGCACTGGAATAAATTGCCTAGGGAGGTTATGGAATCTCCACCATTGGAGATTTTTATGAGCAGATTAGACAAACACCTGTCAGGGATGGTCTAGATAATACTTAGTCCTGCCTTGAGTGCAGGGGACTGGACTAGATGACCTCTCGAGGTCCCTTCCAGTTCTATGATTCTATGCCATTTGCAGAAAACATTTAAAATATACAGCACCACACACATGCTAAGGACCAAAGTCTGCCCTCAGTTATGCACACAGCTCTCGTTGACTTCCATGGGAGTGGTGGGTACATAATTAAGGGCAGAATCTTTAGATTTAGCAGGCTTTTTTGGCAAAACAGAGAAGGGGGCTGTAAGTGTTTGCCATATAACCTTCTTTGCTGCTTGCTTTGATTTATTCCAAAGCTGGGCCAGGAGATGTATTGTGAGACTGGCAATGTCATCCTCAGCTTTTTATTGTGAAAATTGCCTTCCCATTACTCTCTTTGAATTATACCACCTATCCATAATTGCAAAAGGGTCGTATGTCTGGTTTATAATTAATTAATTGTTGCTCTTGTTATATGTATTACCATAGCACCTAGGAGCCCCAGTCATATGACCAGGACCCCACTGTGCTAGGTGTTGTAGAAACACAGAACAAAAAAGGTCCCCGCCCCAGAGAATTTACAATGTAATATGAGATGAAGGACAACAGATGGTACAATACATATAGACAGGGGAGAACAATTGAAACAGCATTGCCTGTGATCTCAGTACATCAGCTTCCTGAGGATTTCCTCAGTGTCCTGGGAATCATTACATGGTGTGGAGCTAGATTAGAAATTGTTGCCACCTCTCTAAGTGTCTGCGTCAGGATCTTGGACAAGGAAAAGGGTGTGTGGTTGATATCATATCAGTGTTCCTTCTGCTGCCACCAATGGTTTAAAACTGATTAAAGAAATCTGATGTAACTATAAGCCATCTGACTCATTTTAGGCCATTCTAGCATCCACTATCAGAGCAGACAGAATGCATTGACAACAAAGTTTGCTTGGTTGGTGGTGTGTGTACGCGTGCACTTGGTTGTTTTGTTTATTATTTTCAGAAATGTAAAAAGATGAAGAAGGGTAAATTATATGATAAGCCCCAACTCCTATATCTATCTGTTTATATAGCTATGTACTCTTGACACAATTTACAGCAAACAGTTCCTGACCATCCCCAAGCTCCAGGAGCTGCAAAAGACATCGTGAAGCCACCTTTGCCAATTCCTACCTTCCTCCACTACAGCGATACTCAAGCTTTTAAAAAATTATATTTACCTTGATAGTATCCCTTTAAATAAGGGTAGATTTTGAGCCTGTGTGTTCTCTGGGCTTGAGCCTTAGCAGAGATCATTCAAAGTTGGGGGTCAAACCTGGGGTAAAAATCTAAATGTCTTTAAAAGGACACTGTCAAGAAAATAAATCAAAATTTTAAAACAATTTTCTTATTTAAGTTAAAAATTACATCCTAGATCAGTAAAAAGGGAAGAATTTTTCAAAATCTAATTTACTTTTCAATATTCATGCTGTTTATTTTTTGCAGTTTAAATTAGTTAGTTAGGCTTTAGATTATAGTCCATTTCTCCATATAAGTCATTTCTCCAATCAGTGTGCTGCAGGGATGGCTTTGCAAACATTTAAGGGAAATGTTTAGTTGTTTCTTTTTAAATTATTTCCATTAGAATAAAATCAATAATAGAAACATTTCTATTGGTTTCAGGTTTTATAGGAGCTTATTATTACACAACCTACATTTGGGGCCAAATAAATCTGACCTGAGAGTGTGAATGCAAATTAATCTACAGGGCCTGAAAACAAAGTCAATTAAATACATACAAAAAATTATAACTATGCACCCAAAGCCAAACAATAAACATAGCTTAGAAAACAAGCTATAAAAGCAAAAGAAAAAATTTTACTTTAGTATGATAGGAAACATCATAATAACAAAAAAGCCCTTAAGTTATCAATGTCCATCTTACCTCTTGCAATAGAAAGACCTTACTTTGATTCAGCCACTAACAGCATAATTAGCCATTTATTAGATGTGTTTTCCAAGTTACTGAGTGCTTATTTTGACTGATTTGACTTTTTAGCTTTGTCTCTGAGCAGACAATAGCCCTTTTTGGGTAGGAGGGTTATATACTGATTTCACTGAACAACTTGTTTCATTAGTAAGTATTGTTTTCAGCTAATTGCTTTCTCCCATTTTTTAAATGAACTTTGCATTCATTTTTCAGTTTAGCAGACAAGCTTTTTTTGCATTGTCTGAAATGCTATCCAAGGTACTGTACCTGAAATTTTAGAACCACCAGCAAAAACATATTACAGGGCTGTAATACTTCATCTCAAATGCAATAGCTCAACACACCAACATTATGTCCTCCTAATGAACCTAGATAGGGATATCTATTCCACTAATGCACGGTGTAAGACTACATTTATCTATTGCACTCTGTTGCAGTAAGTCCCAGCAGGTTTCCAGTTCACAGTAAAGAATATAGCTAGCTATATAGCATCAACTCTTTTCTCTCTCTCTGGCTTGTCAAGGATGAGGAAGAAATAACAATTGAGTGAAAAAGAAAACCCCTACGGAAACAGAGCAGGATGCTACTGATATTGCAGACACTCTCCCCGAGGAATTCAGATGACAATGACATAGGTTGACGCAACATTAGAAATTGCAGCTAAACAAAGCATGTTAGGTTTAGATGTAGAAGTTTGGATCCAGATGTCCTTTAGACGTAAAAAAAAGAGGAAGGGAAATTACATGGTTCCTGTTTAAACTCATTCTAGGCAGTTCAGCCTTATTAAATAATCTTTTCTATATTTCCTCCTGATTTTTACTAGCTCTGCTATCTTTCTTTGGCCTGTTCTATAATATTAACACCTGGACATTTACATCTTCTAGAAATGTCACTAAAGAAATCCACAGACATCTAGCACATGGTCATGCATTCATCCAAGTCTCATTGCCATATTCTGTTCTAAGATACGTCTGTGAAACGCCTGTTGATGTGCAAGTATCTGAGGACAGGATGTGATCGGTAGTTCTAGCTTTGGCAACAGTGAGAACTGAAGTAATAAATAAGGAGAAATGAAGTCAGGCAACTTCCAAAACAGCTAGCGTGATAGTCCTCTTAGTACAGCTTTGGTCCATTCTTGTTAGTACCAGCAAAACTTGAAGTGTAGAATATGTGCAGAAAAAGACAAATAATTCCTTTAAGAAGGAATGAGAAGGAAACGAGTAGTTGCTATAAAATATATGCTTGTTAATTGTGTTTCCAGAACCCTTGACATTCCAAATCACTGTGGCAATAAAAGCTATTTTTAGAATAGGGGATTTGGGGCTAATGTCTTTGCAGAATAAAAGCACGCTCCTCATGAAACTATTTTGTGTTAACTCTATAGAATCATGTATGGGTAGATGTCACCCTGCACAACACAAGCCTTCCACCCCTCGCTATCAAAAACCCAGAGTGTCTGGGTCTCCTCCACCAACTGGATAAAACCAGGGACGTGTGGACTCAGCACTACTGCATTCTGAAGGATGGCTGTTTGTATTTTTATGCCGGCATTCGCTCCACACATGCCATAGGTAGGTGATACTCTTTGTTTTTAAATGATTCATATTAACATGAAAGAGTGTACACTATTTTAATGCAAGTATTTTATTATTCTAAAGGTGAAATAGTGCCCTTACTGGCAGAAAGCATATTGGGGTTGGCAGGTTAGAGAGTGAAGCAGTATTGGCTGAATGTTAGTGACAAGAGCCACCCTGCCAGAGCAGTCAAAAATTGCTCAAGCTCCTTAGCTTCATCGCACTGACGGCACACTCTGCTGCAAACTGCCCAGAGTTATTGCTTGGAGCGGGTTTCCCTATGATTATGGTATTTCCCAATTATATAGGCAGGGAAACACCTCTATCCACTGGAGGAGTGGAACTTCCATCTTTAGCATGATAGCACTCTTTAGCTTCAAAGGGTTGTACAACAATGAAATAACTAGTGCTTACAACATCTCTCTGAGGTTGAAAACTTAGACAGAAACTTGCCCAAAGTCATACACTGAATCAATAGCAGAACTAGAATTAGTTATCAGGTATTTTGGGAGGTTAGTTCTGTGCTCTAACTGCTCAGCCTCATGCCCTTCTGGTCTTTAAATACACTATTGTTTAAAATAAACCAAATCATCTTTCTTTGACATTGTAGTGGATCGTCTCTTGCTACCCTAACTCCTTTTCTGAACTGTTCCGCTCTTATTGCAGATAGTACCTAACAAACACAGTTTCCACTGTCACTGTAATAACTGGCGTCTCCTTGGTACCTGATATAATGTCAGTAGGACGATTAATGTAGGACTCACAATTCAGAAGACAAACTTTGATAAACTTTGAATCAGCTTCCTGGGACATTTAAGTAGAGTTGTGTAAACAACTTATGTTTCAGTTCAGTGTCTGAGCAGTTCAGGTTGACCAGAAACAAAAACTTTTAAAATTTTCCAGCAAATTGAAAATCTCCAAATTTCCTTTTGGGTTGAACAAAACATTTCATTTTTGAGGATTTTAAAAAATATTTTAAAATAAAATTAAAGTAAAATTTGAAATGAAAAGTCCTTTTAAATAAACAAATTGAAATTGTTAGTTTAAAAAAAAATCTCAAAATGAAAGGTTTTCATTTTGGGAAGGAATGTTTGGGTTTGGTATTTCAGTTGGAAAAAACAATTTGGTGAATTCAACATGAATTTGAAAAATGTCACCAGGTAATAATTATTTGAAAGCAGGTAAAATGATGTGTCTAAAGTGCTTGACAAAATGAGCCACATTTGCAAAAGCAACTTCTAAATTCTCATGACCAAAATTACACACCCACATTTTGAGGTTTGTCCCAAACCTGTGTTCAGAAAGCTGGCTGCCTGATTTTCTGTGCATGAATGTAGAACATGGGTTGAGGCTATTCTGAGTATTTGGACCCATAATCATTTTAAGTCTTAACTTTATATCTCTGATATTGACACTTCAAGTCAGAGCCCTAGTGCCCAGTTTCACTTTGAAAAGTGGCTATGTAAAAATGGCATACTTCTTACTCAAAAGAACAGATATCTGTGTATTCATATCTGCTGACCTAAGTGACATAAGTACCTTTCTAATGCTTTTTATTTCCATTATCCCAATAATACAGCCAGAAGGGACTGAGCTGGATTTCAATACTTTTCATGTAGCAACAAAATTATTTACTAAGTTCCAATAAATGACAGATCAGTTTCATCTGTGCAACACCATGGAGAGCACAGGTGTAACAGAGGGCAAAATGTGGACTATAATAATAAAAATATTTAGCAGTTGTATTATGTTTTTCATCCAAAGATTTGTAGAACCTTCATTGATGGTGATGATGTGCAAAATTAAAAGAACTCAATTTGACTCTCATATCTCAGGTTGAATCAGGGCTGGCAGATAAGAAAAACAAATATTTGTTTTACTTGTAAACCGAATACATTTGATCTGGAAATCATTGCAATTGAGGAACTGCCATTTCTTCAGTCACTTTGCAAAATAAAAATGGACATTAATGGTTTTTTACAAAGTATTTTTTTATATGTATTTTAATTCTCTGTTGCATGATTTTTGGAAGCATCACTGCCTAGGTCTCTGAAAAGAGACTGTAAAAACCTTTCCATCGCTAAGTAGAAGGAAAGAACTTGGCACATATGCACTTTACAGTAGACCAACAAGTGGTTTATGCTACTCTCTAGTTGTGCTGTTTCCCTTTCTCTAGGTGGGATTTACCTGCAAGGTTACACTGTAAGCGAACAGTCACTTGGCTCCAGGAGATCTGTAATTGAAATGAAACCCCCATCCGAAGAGTTTCAAACCTTCTACCTATGTGCAGAGAATGTAAATGAAAACAAACGGTAAATTGTGATCTTTGTTTCACTTCTCTTTGCCAAACTCTTAAAGCAAGTAAGAACACTGTGGTTCAAGAACGTTTGCTAACATCTTTCCATTCTGTTTTCACCTGTGTGCTTTCATCTCTCCATAACACTAGTTTTAGTCGCACTGCAGCAAAATATGCTGGCACATGTGAGTCATGAGTTCTGTTATTGTCATCACTGGAGTTATAGCAAGGCTGAACTGCAGCAGTTCAAGAAGGAACCTTGTCATGGTATCTCTCATAAGGATGTGTGGGTGGGCATACTACGTGGAAGCACCTGAGTGCCTTTCATGATAGGTCAGACTAAGTGAAAAGTAGGTACTTCTAGTTCTCACAGATGAATTACTTCCAACACTGATCATCATACTTAAAAAAATAGCGTACAAAGTCATTTTCTAAAGGCTACATTCTGTAGTCTTGGTGCAGAAAAAACTCACACTGATGTCCCTAAGACTAAAAGTTGTAGGATTTGACTTATAATGAGAAGCTATTAAATAATTTGGAAACTTGTGCCCAGATATGTTGCTCTTAGAGCCAATTCTTCCCTTCCCACCTCTCCAGTCCACTTATTATTAGCATTTTTAGTGACATGACAGTACAACAGATTTATAAAAACTAATTTCAGGAGAAGTTTATCTTCCAAGTGCACATATGACACCCATTCAGTGGCAGTTGTTGGTCTTTCCTTTCTTTCAGATGGATTACTGCTTTGAAAACCTCAATTAATAAATGGGTAACCCTACACCAGGCCATTCAAGACTTCATGAACCGACCCCTGGAAGAGACAAAGATGTGAAAAAAAAATCTAGTTTTTCTTCATACTTTTCTTTATAATACATTTCAAGACAATATCTCCCACACAGATGATATTTTAGCAGCAGGTGAACTTTAGCAGTGGTATGTACCACACATCTTTTGTAAACATTAGTAAATAAAAGCTAATTTATGTTACCTGCATTGTGGATAGTCTTTTTATATTTCTATTTGTGGTCCAGGGTCCCCTAACTAAAGCAGAGTCACTTTAGATTTATACCAGTGAACAGGGATTTTGCCTTAGCTGATAAACTACACTTCTTGCTGCATCATAGTACAGTAGAACCTCAGATACAAACACCTCAGGAATGGAGGTTATTTGTAACTCTGAAATGTTTGTAACTCTGAACAAAACGTTATGGTGTTTTTTTTCAAAAGTTTGCAACTGAACATTGACTTAATACAGCTTTGAAACTTTACTATGCAGAAGAAAAATGCTGAATTTAACCATCTTAATTTAAATGAAACAAGCACAGAAACAGTTTCCTTACCCTGTCAAATATTATTTTTTAAACTTTTCCTTTATTTTTTTAGTAGTTAATGTTTAACACAGTATTGCACTGTATTTGCTTTTCCTTTTTTGGTTTCTGCTTCTGCCTGATTGCATACTTCCCATTCCAAATGAGGTGTGTGATTGACTGGTCAGTTCATAACTCTGAGGTTCTGTTGTATTTATCTAAAGGGAGAAAGCACTGACTTTCAGTATACATTTTACTCTGTTTTTTTTTATGCATATGTTGTTTTTATCATGCAAATGGAATCCTTGTGAGGATTTACTTTTATAAAATGATCCCTCAGTTGGGTTTTCTCTGAAATATATGGACTGTTTCTAACTCAAAGTTGGGGCTGGGGCGGGGCCAGAAAAGATTAAAATAGAGCATGCAGTGAAGTTGTAGCCAAGTCGCTCCCAGGATATTAGAAAGACAACGTGGGTGAGGTAATATCTTCTAATGGACCAACTTCTATTGGTGAAAGAGAAAAGCTCAAAATACCATTTTGAGGCATTTTGACTGACGGCAGAGGAATTTTGACAGAGAGGACTGATGGGGAGGCCAAAGGCTCCATATCCACTAGGGCAGTGCTGTGCATATGGAATTGAATGTATATTATTTTGTTGTTGTTCATGTTCACTCTATAGTAAGTAAATTTTAATTTTAAAGTATTTTTGGCCTGGCCAACTGTTATCACAGCTCACCACATTTATGGAGAGGAATAGATTTGAGGCTGAGAAGAACTATTTCCTCTGAACCTATGGATGAGAGGTAGCACCATAACCCTGCATCAAGTGTGTCAAAAATAGTCCTCTAATAATTGATTCAATGATGTAATATTCTAAATTCTAATTTTTACAAAAATATGATTATAGTTAATTTTTTGTATTACCATAGCACCTAAGAGCCCCAGTCATGGACCAGGACCCCATTGGCGCTGCATAGACACAGAACAAACAGACTGTGAGCTCTTTGGAGTGCAGGCTAAGACAAGAGACAACAGATGGATACAGACTGAAGGGGGAGACAAGGAAACAATGAACCAGTACTGGTTAACATGATAGGCAGTGGTCTCAGCACACCAGTGGCATAACCACTGTCAAGTGTTTGGTAGGCATCACTGAAAAGGAGAATTTTAAAGAGGGTTCTGAAGGATAATGAGGTCACTTAGCGGACATTTATGGGGCGTCCCTCCCAACTGTGAGGGAAAGCATGAGAGAAAGCACAATGGTGCTTGTTTGAAAATTTAAAAAGTTGGTAATGGAAGCTGGCATCATGGGCCGATCAGAGGCAAGATTCAGCCTCTCAATACTGAATGAGAGGTGATAGATAGCGTGAGGATAGGCTGTGAAGGGCCTTTAAAATGAAGACAAATGGCTTATGTTTTGGTGCAACAGAGAAGGGGGAGCTGGGAAAAACAGTGGAAGGGATGCAGACAGAGGAGTGATGTAGTCAAAGTTAAGGGCTAGGAAAGTGATAATTGCAGCTGTAGGCTGAATGGATATGAGCAGGCTAAGACTGCATTAATCAAGGCCCGAGTAAAGGATGTTGCATTTACCAAGGTGCAAGATGATGAAAGCCTGGATGAGAGTTTTAGCTAGGGTGACCAAATGTCCCATTTTAATAGGGACAGTCCCATTTTGGGGGACTTTTTCTTATATAGCAGCCTATTACCCTCCACCCCCATTCCATTTTTTCACAATTGCTATCTAGTCACCCTAGTTTTAGCTGTGCAGAGAGACAGGAAAGGCCATAATACAGAGATGTTATGCAAAAAGAATCTGCTAGATTTTATCATAGTCCAGATGTAAGGACCTATAGAGAAGTCTGAGTCAATCACTCTTCCAGTATATAGAACTAGCCAATTAATTTATGATTTTTCACATGATTTTACTAAGTTCTTTATAGTTATTCACTCAATTACCTCTAATTTTAGACAGGAGCCTTGCAATTTGCAGCTGTTGTAAAAACAGAAGTGTAAGTGTGAATTGGATGTGGGTACACACCTATACTGTTACAATCACTTAACTGAAAGAAGAACAGTTGCAAAGTTACCAACTCTTGAGATTTCATTGCGAGTCTTGTGATATTTGGTCTTTTTCTCAGAGGCTTTAGACCTTGGGGGTCATCTGAATACATCAGTAGCTCAGCTTTAATTTTAAAGCAAAAGTAAGTTTCTAGCCCATATGATGGTGGATAATAAATTTAAAAACATGAAGCCTAGACATGGCAAAGCCAGAAGTGACAAAAGCTCCGAATGTTTTGCTTTAAAATAATGATTTTTGGGTGGATCTGGCTCCTGCTATTTGAATGCTTGAGGTAGCTATATTGCAGTTCACCCAGGAAGGAAAGTTGTTAAACATTCCAAATGGGTTGCTACAATGGTTTGAACAGTTGAATACAGAAATCACCATGTTTAATGAAATATTACAGGCAATCCGCTATATGATCCATTTTCTTGCACCAATCTTTTGTACCATCCACTGCTCATGCTAACAAATTCTTCCACAGAGCATAGTTTGTATAAAAGTAAATGATTCAAGTTTTTTTGAAAACAAATGAACTCTGGGGAAATGGTCATGTCTCGTGTCTAGTGATAATGTTGTACTCCTTTGATGCACAGCCATGAAATTTATATTTCTGTTACAATGTTTAGAGCAGGTAATGGAGAGATCATAAATTATTCCTTTTTGTTATTGTTTTCTACATGGAAATCAAAATAGCACTTCTAGGCACTACCTTACTTGGGTCAGTGCAGCTGGCTTGAGACTGGCAAATATTTCCTGAGAACTAGCTTTGAGATCCAAATAACAGATGTTGAGATCTAGCAAGTAGAGAAGCCGCAATGAAAAATCATGAAGGAAAAAATTGCACCATATTAATAAGCAGAAAAACTAAACAGAAATTCAAAAACAATTGCAAAAAAAATTGATACAATGGGGTAAATGTGAGGCGACAGGACTGGGAGGTCCTCACAGTCCTGATCCAGCAACGCACTTATGCCTAGTTTGGTCACAGTTCTTCCTTCAGCCCTTACTCAGGTTGACTACTCCCTTCTTGTGTAAATACTGCCACTGAAGTGATTCACTGGTGGAAGTGATGTCAATCAGATTTCGTGCTTCTATAAACCACTTACATCACATATGAAAGTAATAATGCTAGGACACATGGCACAGAGAATTGATATAAAGGTCATAAGACATAGGGCTCAATGACTTCAATACAAATACTTCCATGAGTATGTGCTACTCAGTCTGAGTGAGGGTCATAGAATTGGGCCTTTTCTCTTATGACCTTACCAGACTTTGCCCCCGAATAGGTGCCTTACAAATTAGATATATTTCTTTTCCTCCACACTTGACATCATTTCTGAAGCATACTAGTGTTACGTTAATATGTTTTTGATTTATTTTCACATACATTCTACTGCAAATATATCAGAACTCAAAAAATAGTCTCACTCAGCATAAGTCAATGGAGTTACACTGGTATAAAACCTGTGTAAGTGAAAGAAAAAAATCTGTCTCACTGTTTTTTATTGTTGAGATTTACACTTCCATGCTGTAGAATCAAGACTAGATTCTTAGCTGGTGTAAATAAGTATAGCTTCAGGATCTGGCTTTTTATATTTTGTGATCCTGATGCTTCCAAATGGAAGCAAAATCAATAACAAATTGAAGGGAAAAGAATCACCATTTCATTTTTCTTCAAATGATCATAAATACAAATCATCTGTGAAAAAATATGTCACTGCTTTTAAGAGTAACAAGCCAGCTCTTGGCTATAGCCAGATTCTACAGTGCACAAAGATGGCTTGTCACATTTCTCTGAGCCAGAGCTGGTTCTAGCCCAGCACTAATGCCTACATAGATCACAGCAGCCTGGGAGTTGTTCTAATTTATGTCAAGTGGCTAATGGAAGCATTGCCTGAGTGGCAATTTGCCAGCCAGGAATTGTCATAGAGCAATGCACACGCTCTCCCATTCCTAACACTGCTGGGGACAATGGTATTTGGATCGAGAGGGCTGGCATAGGAAGGAGCAACCTAGGCCTACTGGTGACCCCATGCCAGAGAGGTCATAATCAGTGGGTCAGGGTCATACTTAGCTGTCATCAATGTGGCTGATTTTATTTTCATTTTTTAAAGTATTCACAACACTCTTATCTGATATATATTTTGTTTGAGTGGTTTCTCATGGGACTTTTTCCCAGTCCCCTTGCAGATGTCCAAAAGGAATTTTTCTGAATAAATGTTCCCTCACACACAAATTTCTCAATCTGACTTTTCACCTTCTTCTGGAGTTGTAATTACATGTGTAATCTAATTCTAATGGGACAACTGTAATTATAAATAGTATATAATTCTGCGTTCATACATTTGAGTCAGCTTAATTATGAGTTCCTTTGGTCACTAAAATGCATTGATGGTGCTTGTAAAGTTGTATTTATTACATTTTTCTCTCAAGATTTTTTCCCAGATACCTGAAGGGGAGATTAAGGATTTATCAATGTTTCTCTCTGGCTGTAGAGGTTGATTTTGGTTTGTTTTGCTATTTTTTTTAAATATGCCTCATCATTTTAATTATATTTGAAAAGTTGGGGGAGGTTGAAAAAAATCAATTTATATTATTGCAAGTGTTTATTATGTGTTTTCTGCATTAGTTTGACATTATTGCAGCTTGCTCACTAATACAAATTAACACATAATTAGAAGCATGGGATTTATCAGACCTTTCATTCATCAAGTCCAGAATCCTGCTTGTGTTGCTTCAGAGAAAGGGGGAGGGGGGAATTGTATCCTGTCAATTGTGCACTGCTTCACACATTAAAAAAACCCAAAACAAACAAACAAAAAATCTCTCACCCTTGTAGCAATCATCTTAAACCTTGAATCATGAGATATGATTCCCTTAATTTAGCATACATAGAACTGTAGCATAAAATGTTAGTCATTATCATAAAGTTAGCCAATCTTTTTAGAAATCCAGCTAAAGTAGTTAACTCTATAATCTCCTGTGGCAGTGAAGTCCACAGATTGCATGTTGTTGGAGGAAGTATTTCTGTTTAGATTTTCTATCTTTAATGGCCATTTATTTAATCAAAAGACCACACTTCTTGAGTTAGGAAGACAAAATAACATAGGGAGGGCCTAGTAACTTTAGTCTCCCCTTCAGAATCCTGAATACTTCAGTTTAGTCCCCTCTGAGTCTTCTCCTTTCCCTGCTAAATAGTCCTAGTTGTTATGTCTCATCATACTGTTACCCTTTTTTGACCCAAGTAGCTAGTCAAAGTTCAGGGCCTTGGGGATGTTCCAGCTGGAAAGAGAAATTGATGGAGCCTGGTATTTTCTTTGATGCACTCTTGTTAATTTACAAAGAATGTACAAAGTCCTGCTTCTCTGAACACAGGAGGAACTAAGAACCAGGGATAGCTTCTTTGCCTAGCATCACACTCAAAATATTCCCTTGTGCCTTCACCCAGCATACAGGCGCTTTTGTGGCTTTCTTCAGGCTGTCTCTATTGCTCTTTGTGTCTGTGTTCTGCCTTCTCTCTCTCTCTCTCACACCTCCACAAACTTTTCTAAAACAATACTCAGACCAAAAAAAACCCCAAACAACCCTCTACCCACACAATCAAAAATATCTGTGTGGGTTCACATACTCCTTTTGTCTAAGGTGGGGGCTTGCGATTAACTCAACCTTACAGTTATGTGAAGCGTACATTCACACCAGACACCCATCAATCTCCAAAAGTTTTTAACTCAATCCATCAAGTTTAAACCAGCTCATAACACATTAACTTTCCCATATACCTAAGCCATCATCATTGCCTTCCTCTGGACCTTTTCAGCATTCACTACACTTTTCCTAATGCAGGGCGGTTTCATCACTAGAGAGAGTGGTCCAAATGAGGGCAGACACTTGTTCAATATAGGAAACATTATGCTCATGCCTGCTCTTGAGCAGTACTTGCAATATGTAATATTTTAGTACTGTGTGATTTACAGTGTGCAAAGTGACTGAAGCCTTAGATAGGCACTAATAGAAGTTGAAATGAATAAATTAGCCACCCCTCCTCCCATATCTTGCTTTTCTGTTACATGATGTATTACTCATGAACCAATTCTCTAATTTGGTGATAAATAAGTGAAACTTGTACTAATAAACTTGTTAGTGGTTGTCAACCATACATTTGGAATTAAAAGCTTCATAAATAGATCAGTCCACGTCAATAACAGTAACAGCATTGAGCTAGGAAGTTTTAAAATGTAAGCAGGGTCTGACAGAGTTCTCCCCTGACAGCTAGCTGGGAGGGGGAGAGATTTCAGGAGCAAACTGTATCTATATGAACCCATCTACTCTTCCAAGATATCCAGCAGATAGAGCTGTGTTGCTCACAGTGATCAACTTTGGCTGGTGTTGGGTTACAAATCACTTTAGCACTGAATGTAGAGGTAGTGAAATGTTGTTGTCTTTATTGTATAAATAAAGGGGAAACAGACCTGTGCTTCACCTGACCCAAATGAGGGGTTCACCCTCAGTTGAAAGGACCTCTTTAAACCAGAGGCTCTAATGTCAGACTTCTGTGAAAGTAAGACGGGTAGGGACAGATGTACCAGTCAGGAGATGTGGACTCTCCCTAAGGGTCCCTAATCTGGTTGAGCCTGTTCCTCCCCACGGTTCAAAGAGAGAGATAAGTAGGCTTAATTAGGAGCCTTTTGTTATCCTAAGTACTCAATAAGAGCTGAAATCACTTGTGGTGCAGCAGTGTTTCTGCCCAGTCTGCTTAGATCTAAAAATCACTGAGGCTTGGTCTACACTAAACCCCCAAATCGAAGTAAGGTACGCAACTTCAGCTACGTGAATAACGTAGCTGAAGTCGACGTACCTTACTTCGAACTTACCGCGGTCCACACCCGGCAGGCAGGCTCCCCCGTCGACTCCGCGTACTCCTCGCGGCGAGCAGGATTACCGGAGTCGACGGGGAGCACTTTTGAGTTCGATTTATTGCGTCCAGACAAGACGCGATAAATCAAACCCAGAAGTTCGATTGCCTGCCGCCGAACCAGCGCGGTAAGTATAGACAAGTCCTAAGACACCAGAGAGACAGGTGGCAGTAGGAGGTGACTGATGGGTGGCCCTCTGGAGAGTGGCAAGCAGTTGGCTGAGGAACAGTGGCTGGCCAGGCGGTGAAGAACAGTGATTGGCGGGGCAGCCAGACAGAGCAAATGCTCAGATTGCCCATCAAGCAAGGTGCCTTCTTCCCCAGGTGGAAGGTGAACTCACAGAGAGTTGGGTCCTCACTGTCCAAGGGCAACCACCATGAGTGGAGTATAGTGAGGGAGCAGAGAGGGGGCATAGTAATGGAACTTTTGGTTGTAGAACTCAAGAACATGAGGCAGAAGGCACTGCCCCACGCACTCTGGGGTAGGTGTTCTGTTCATAGTTTTATGATTATGAAGCCTGCTTGTGACATTTTCCCTAATTAATGTTGGGTGAATTCCCTCCTTTCATTAAAAGTTTCTTTTCCACACTCAGACTCTGTGCTCACGAGTGGGGAAGTATTGCTTCTCAGGCACCCAGGGGTGGTGTGTCATTTTCCCAGGTTACTGACTGGGGGCTCAAGCTGGTTCTGTGTTGTATTGTTGAAAAGGAACCCCTAGATATTGAACCCAGCCCTGATTGCTGCAGGCTCCACCTGGCAGAAGGGTTACAAAAATAGCTAATAATCAAAATACGAAGCCAGTGTAATATGGGTCTAAATTTGACACTCCATTTTCTATTAGAAGAAGACAGGTGCATTACAAAGGTATTAGGCTCACTGCCGTTGTACCACTAGTCAGCCACTAGACTGTTGACAGTGTATGGAACCAGAGTTGGATAGAAATAGCAGTCAACCAGGAATATCAGTTCCCAATCCAGGCTTTCCCAACGGTGGAGGTGCTTGGAGTCCACGTTTTGATTCAGTTCTACATTAGATTTTTATTTTTTAAGGGAGGAGGAAGAGAAACAAAATAGCATGTTAGTTTTTTGTTGCAATTAAGTTTCAATAATGAAACTTTGGGGAAGATGCAAGTTATGTTTGATGGTGTTTTCAGGGCAGCACGGACTGGTATTGCTGTGCAATTACTGCATTGTCAGTACCTCGTATTGTCTCATTTGTTTGCCTTCAAGAATTTATAGTTATTGCTAAGATCCATCCATATTCAAGGTTTTCTTACCTCTGCCAGGAAAAAGATAGCTATATTGAAACGAGAATGCTTCCATTAGCGGAGTATGATATTGCAGGTCATGTTCTTGAAGCATGATTTATTCAGCAGGTTTGCTACATTCCAAGTGGAACTCTTTTTCTGCCCTATTCAGCAGAAAATGTACACAAGGGGAAGCCACAGAAGGTCACCTATGTGTTTCCAACATTGGGCTGAGCAATTAGCAGGAAACACAGTTGTGCCACAAAAACATTTTTGCCAAGTACATAATTGCCGGCAGTAGAGGGCTGGTCAAGGACGGTTATTTGTTTGGTTCTGTTTCCCCCCGCCATCAGCTCCTGCAGCCTGATTTACCAGAGTTAATCTAGTGCTAAACTGCAGGAATGATGGAATATGCCTTAGCCAAACCTATGACACTGCAGCATTCTTGGATGGAAATCAGGTTGCCTAATACTCAGACTTCTCTTCTATACCAACACTTACGCACATCTGTTATGCTGGCATGATAGCATGCTAATTTTAAGAAAGTAGGGGCAAGCAAAGGTTTACAGGTGGATTGTCTGCAGTATATAGGAATTAACATCTCTTATTCATGAAGATCCTCTCAGGGGCAAATAATGCTAAAATGGGCTGGCTAGACACTTTAGAATAAGGGCTCACTGCTGATACTTAAGTGTTATAGTATCAATGAGGGTCTTCACCTTCTGTTTTCTTTTCTAGAGAGTCTTGGTGCTCAGAATTTTGAACATGAAAAGAGAAAGGCATGTCATGTGCGAAGTGTTAAACAGTGACATTCCGAGGCCTTTAGTTAATTACTGTTTCCATTAAGGTCTCCCTCATAATTAATAAACCACTTAGAGGTTCATTAGGTTGATGCAATATGATGAAACTTGTCACCCTACAAGTACATATTATTATTATTAGAGAGGCTTTTGAATTTGTAAAGAAGCATCTAGCGGTCACAATCACAGGCATTTTAAGTAATAATAAGATGATAGATAATTTTACTGAGACATAATACTGCCTAGTTATTCTATTGCTGGTCACATCTCATCAAACACTTCTTTAATTTTAACAGGTAGGTCATAAATGTTTCCATTTCAGGAAAGATATGGAAATAAGCCATCAGAAAGCAGGAATAATTTTCCAGAATAATCATTCAAAATTCCACACGTAAAAATGCCTTCTCCGATATTAGCTAAACAAAGTCACCATTCACGAACTCTCTAATCTCTGACTGCCTCAGCTGGTAAGAGAAAGAAAGGTGAATGCTGCATTCTGGCATTCTCTACCTTCAGATTCCTTGGCAGAGAAAAGAATCATCGAACACACAATATGCAACACAGACAAATCAGTTGACTCAGTTTGGGATCCATATTTTGCCAACTACACTGGTCCAGATCCTCAGCTGGTGTAAAACAGCATAGCTCCACATACTTTACTCAGAGCTACATTAAACTACTACAGCTGAGTATCTGGACCATCTGTCCATTCAATTATCCAAAATTAAGCCAGAGATGATAGAGACTACAACAAATGAAAGACCCCCTAAACTTATTTCTACCAGCTTAGGTTAAAAACTTCCCCAAGGTGCCAACTAGGTTATTTGAGCTTCTTAACCTCTTACAGGTAAAGGAGGGATTTTATGCTACCCTTAGCTTTATGATATGCCCCCCAAAATCACAGCCAGTGCTGGACAGCCTGTTCCACACTGGCTGTGATTTCTTCCTGGAGCTCTGTGTCAATGGAGTGGTATGCCCATTTGATCTGTCCTGGGGTGGTTGAGAACATGGGGGCGAAGCTAGTACGCAGCTTTTTCATTTGCTGTTGCTGCATACGTCTGAGGGTTATTGGGCGGTTCACCTCTTTCACGCCACCATTACTTTTTTCTTTGTAGTAGACACCTTTAGGCCACTCAGTGTTATTTCCTCCCTGGGCTGTAAACTGACAAACCTTTAATTTTTTGGAATAAAAGGGCTTTAAAGAATTAACATGGTACACTTTAGGCTTTAGGTTTGAGGTGGGGGATGCTATGAGATAGTCCCAGTCGCTTTTGGACCATGAATGGCCCTTTCCACGACACTTTCATCCTATGGGCCTGGAGCACCTTCAAGAACATGACCTGGTCCCCTACTTTGAAGGAGACACAGCAAGGAAGAGTGTGATTAACAGGAAAACAAACAGCCAACAAATATCTTAAAGCAGATAAAACAGGCAGTAGGGAGAGACTTGGACCACTAGGACTGCTGGATTTTCAGACAAATAAAGTTGCACAAGCATGGAAAAAAAGAAATGAGTGTATACAGACCTGACCATGGGGGATAAAGATGAGAAAATGAAAGTAAAGCTTTTTTTAACTATCTCATTGCGGGAAATGGACAAAAAGCCAGTTAGACACCATTGCGAAGAATGTTGCCTGAAACACTGGAACAGGTGATAAAAGCATTCAGGATTTGACCCAGAGAGAATGAGACTGAAAGAGATATCACCCTCCCTTTCCCCCACCCAAACCAAGATGCAAACAAGGGAATAGCTACATTACATGGCTGAGTATTCTGGATTCCACATGTAATTCTGGAGGCATTAAAGAGTCCCAAATTAAAGACAGGATCATTTGTGGAACATGTGATTCCAGCTTACAGGAGAGATTGTTGAAAGAAACAGATTTAATCCTAAAGAAATGCTTCCAAATAGCAAAGGCAGCTGAACTTTCCAGGGAAAAGATCTAAACAATGACAGACCTCAGTTCAGAACAAGTACACAGGCTCAAGCTAATGGAACCCAGGAAGTTGGACAGAGACAGACCGACCAAGCATGCAGGCATCATGGTCCAGTGTATAGATTTTGGAAAGCAATACAAAAGAGAAAAGTGCTGAACCTATGGGCAATGGTGTAAGGGGTGTGAGAAACAGAAACACTATGTCCCAATGCCACAGTAACCTTAGGAAGAAAAAAACAGCAGTACAATCAGTGATTGATGATATAAAGCAGTGGTCTCCAAAGTGGGGTGCGTGCACCCCAAAAGGGTGCGCAAGAGGATCCTTGGGGGTGCGTGGCAGCAGGAGCATTTTTTTTTTGCGCTTTGGCAAAAATGGTAGAGCCGGCGCGGCAGGGGGTGCATGCTCAAAATTTTTTTACTGATAGGGGTGCGCAATCAAAAAAGTTTGGAGACCACTGCTCTAAG